ACCCCACAATTGAGGCTCCACGGGGCCGAGACCCTCTCTCCAAGCTGTACTCTCTGGGGCCGGTCCTCCAAGAAGGAACGGAGCCAAGCAAGCGCTAGGCCACGTATTCCTAACTCAGAGAGCCTCCCCAGGAGGATACCATGGTCGATGGTATCAAAGGCAGCTGAGATGTCGAGGAGGACCAACAAGGACATATCGCCCCCATCGGCCTCCCTCAACAGGTCATCCATCAGTGCGACCAGTGCCGTTTCAGTACCACAGTGTGGCCTGATGCCCGACTGGAATGGGTCCAGAGCACTGGTTTCGTCCAAAAGTGCCTGGAGCTGATATGCCACCACCCTCTCAACCACCTTGCTGAGGAAAGAAACATTGGCGGCGGTCCTATAATTTCAAATGTCGTCCGTCGCCAAATTTGGTTTCTTCCTAATGGGCCTAATGAGTGTCTCCTTGAGGGCAGGCAGTGTGGCCTGATGCCCGACTGGAATGGGTCCAGAGCACTGGTTTCGTCCAAAAGTGCCTGGAGCTGATATGCCACCACCCTCTCAACCACCTTGCTGAGGAAAGAAACATTGGCGGCGGTCCTATAATTTCAAATGTCGTCCGTCGCCAAATTTGGTTTCTTCCTAATGGGCCTAATGAGTGTCTCCTTGAGGGCAGGTGACAGAACTGGTCCTCAGGGCTGTTTCAAATCTCCTGACTTTTCTACATAGAATGTGATCCATGGGTAAATATGTAAATAGATATGTATTGGTCATACAGACAATAATAATTGTACAAACATAACAAAAATATGAAATTTACAATACAAGAAAAACAAATGTACAGATTAACATAAATTTCATGTCTAAGGAGTCTGTGTCATCAAATTGCTACATCTCTTACTCAAAATAGCCTGACACATTTGGCTTAACTCTAATAAATATACTACCCAAGTGTGCCTTTTATTTTGATCACCACTACAGCATTTGTTTGTTCATTAATCCTTCCAAACTTAATATCATGTACTATATTGTTATACTCTTTGGGAAATCATCAAATAAGAGAATCATAAAGGAATGGAATTGTAAGTTGCCTGTAAGACCATCAAGTCCAACCCTCTGCTCAGTGCAGGAATCCAAATCAAAGGAGATATGACAGATGATTGTCTAATTTTCTCTTGAGTGCCTCCAGCTTTGGTAGTTGGTTCCATTATTGTACTGCTCTAACGAATAGGTTTTTCCTGATATTCATCTGAAATCTGGTTTCCTGTAACTCCAGCCCATTATTACTGTCCTGCACTCTAGACTGAATGAGAACAGGTTCTGTCCTCCCCTATATGACTACTAGAAGTGGGGACTAACTGCCAAAATGGCAGTTCATCCTAGTTCGTGGTCTGTCAGGGCTGACAAACCACAAACCACAAATTTCCTCCCAGTAGGCTGACAAACCATGAATCAGATTGTTGGTTCATCAGGCTTTTTTTAGACAGCCCACAGCAGGCTAATGGAATCCAGGCCGCCCTTTACAAAGGCCCTTTAATTCACCCTAAGGGA